CATTAACCTCAATTTTCATTTTAAAGATTAAAAAAAATCGTGAAGGTGCACTTTAAGGTATCTGAATACAGTTGTTTAGAACACCGACCGGGACGAAATAAACGGGTCAAAAAGTAATTTAAGTTGGTCAAATCGTAATAATATTTTACTACATGATTAACAAGGGATTGAAATTCATATTGAGTAAATTTTTGGAAAATCGGATTTAATTTATGCGTTTTATGGGGAAATCCAGGAAAACGCTTTTACAGTTATTTCACACAAATTAAGCCTATTTTTCCCGGGATATCTCAGGGACATAATATTAGAGGTATTGCCTAACTATATCCAAAGTTTGGTCAGAATTCATCGAGGAAAGACAACATCATGCGGTACTTAACTTGGAGCAAGAATTTTCAAAGAAAAAGAGCGTATACAAAATCAAAAATTCACATTTTACTTTGTATCAAAGATATATTGACCGATTTCTGGAAAAAACTTCCCGTTCATGCAGAGTTTCGGCACTGTACACCAATWGCGCTGCGCGYCGGTGACGTCATGAAATTTGAGACCTCGTACATGACTCAGACAAACAAACAGCGATGTGAGCAAAGGAATGGCTGAAACGACTAGCGCGTGCATCGATAAAGTGACTATTTTAACAGATAAAGACGGCGTTCCTGGRTCAATTTTCGAATGTGAACCAGAGAGTTATACTCTAAATCAATTGAAGTGATGGCTGAAGTGTCGYKGGTTAAAGCAAACTGGAAAAAAAGCTGAAYTAGTGGATCGAGTCAGGGATTGTGTWAAGTCCGGAAATCATGCCTTTCTTGACCCTAGTATAGACGAAGGTWAATGGCTTCAAAAAAAGATAGAGGAGGAGAAAAGTACTGAAGAACAAGCTGAAAAGCAAGAGTATAAGAGAGTACCAGACATACCAAAATCGGGTTGGAAGAACTTTCCTTCAAGTGACATTCCCGTACTATTTAACTATKGCCACGTGTACCACTACGAGTTGGAATCGCTGCCTTATTTACCGACTAATCACAAATGGGACCACGAGGACAACGAAGACGAAGATATTGACAACGGACTAGGACACATGACGGACAAACCATTCAGACAAGGACGTAAATACATCGACTYRGGCTTTGTACACGATGTGACTGACATGTCGACCGACGATCACTACTTTGTAAGAGCTCATGTTTGGCCTTCTATGAGAAGCGATTTGCYGCACAATGTAACGATCCTTTTGTCCAAGCAAAGMGGAGTGGTGATTCATGCCACTTGCGATCCATGTAAAGTGTCAGCTTTAGGACGATGCAGTCATGTCATAGCTGTTTTACTCACTCTAGTTGACCACGTGAAGCAGCACGGCCACAAGAACACAACACCCTGCACAAGTAAAGAGTGCTCGTGGAACAAAGGAAGAGAAGCAAAATTGAAGTGATTGATTTCGACCCAAGACCAGAGGGATACAGAAATGTGTCAAGTAAACATATAAATAACTTTCTTAGAGGCCYAGAAAAAGATTTATCTATGTGGGAGACACAACTACATTACACATATCCCGATTACAGTTTAAATAATGAAATTATATCTGACTTGACTGCTAATGTTTCCAATAYCTTAAGGAACATTACACCAACTGGTGTAACACAAATAGAAGGCACAGAAGAACAAAGTAAAAGTGAGAAATGGCGAAACGAAAGATACTACAGAATCACTGCCTCATCTTGCCACCAGGCATGTAAGCTGGGAGAAAAGGTGATTGCTGGAGCCAGCACAGTAGCATCTAGTGCAAAAAAAATA